CTGGATTAGATTTCTGGAGATCCTCTGGAAACTCACTGAAAACCGTCGCAAAGCACTGATTATATGCCCATTAGATACACTGTAATCTATTTATCACTAGGATTTTTGTTTCAACTTTATATTTCGATATTTCTGAAAAGGTTGTCTAGAGATCCTTTGGGAATAAATTCGTTTTAGTTTGCGAGCTTTCGCTCTATCCTAGAGCATCAGTAGGCAAATTTATTTAGCTTTTATTCCTAGTGTTTGAATGTAAAACGAAGAAACTAGTGCGAGTCCAATGCATTAGCGAAGTCACTAAAAGTTCAATCATTCCAAGGTCAACTATTAACAGATGAATATTTTAAAACAATTAAGATAGAAGAAAGATTGAAAAATGAATTAAACCATTTAACGGATGAAGCATTCCATAGCGAATGTACTTGCGAGCGGGTACTTGAGACGATTGTCGACAACAGAAAAGGAGTATTTATATGACATCAAAAAACCATCCATATAAGGAGATATAATAAAAGAAAAAAAATTAGTTCTGTCTTTCTTTCTACTTCTTCAAAACAGTGCGACAACATAAATATTTTAATCTTTTTTCAGGCAAAAGCAAAATATGTCACAACAACAGAAAAAGCTACATGTAATGTTATCTTACGAATGGACAATACAAAAATTAGTCTTATCGATTTATGACTATTTAGTTGAAGAACAGCTACCAGTATGGATGGATATTAAATCTGGTATAAAATCAGCTAATTTATTCGAAGTGTAATAAGGAAGCCAAAAGCAGCTCGGAAGATGTTGTCTGGTCTTACTTTATTTTGTTTAGTATTGGCGAAGCAATTGAAAATTCTGTTTGTTTCATATGTTTTATGACACCGGAATATCAACAGTCTGGTTTTTGTAAACAAGAACTTCTATATGCAAAACAATGTAATATACCAATTACACCACTGAAGTTAGAAGAGAACTGGTATCCAACAAGTTGATTAGGTAATAGACTTCATACATATCTCTCTATGAAACGGCAACTTTGATCTTTTTTTTCTTCCTTCAGGTTAAAAAAAAAATCAGTTGAATTGTACAACCGTATTTACACAGTACTTGAAAATCAGTTAAAAAGTTCACCTAAATCAAAATCAGTCGTCAAACAACTTTCTTCTCAGCCATCTGAAAAATATAAAATGGAAATCAATTATCCCAAAAAAACGGCAAACAGTCTGGACGAGATACCCTATAGCTTGAGAATGATGGCAAGTTCCACGTCCGTATTCGCAAATTCTGATGCTGTTAATGATCTCTCTGGAAGAGTAAGTAGGAAAATACCTATAGTCCATCCTCATGATAGCCATCGTCGACGAATATCGCCGGTACGGAAAATACCGCCTCCCGTTTATTATGGCAGACGAAGAAAAAAATCGTCAAATGATGATGACAGTGAAGAAGAAGAGCAAAATTTTTCTAAATTCGGTGATTAATTTATCAAATCCCGGTAAATACTCTCGCGTAAA